CGACCGCGACGTCCACGACGACGACGTCTCGCGATTGTTCGAAGCGAACGAGCGCGACGGACGGCGTCGCGTATCCCACGAACGGAAACGAGGTCACCGCGTCTATCCTCGAGGAACTCGAGAACCGTTTGTCTCGTCTAGAGAGAAGGCTGCGGGCCGTCGAGCAACCTGGTAAGCGTTTCGTTTCGGAGGCTTGTGCGAACGCGGAATATCGCGGGTATCGCGTTTTATAGTTTGGCAAATGGGCACCGCCGAGGAGGACTGGGAGATTTGCGCGGAGGGACCGTGCCGGTGTCAACCGGAAACCAAATCGGTATCCTGTTGGAGGCAAAATTTGCTGGATCTTCCCGCGGCTCAGCTCGTTCCCAGAGACGTGTTGAAATTGTAAGCGTCGGTTTAATCGTTCTCTTTGTTCGAGGATCAGTCGTTTCGTGTTTTCGCAGGGATCTAGGAGGAAATCGGTTGACAGCGCTGCACAAGGACACGTTTTTAGACATGACGCGACTGAATCATCTGTGAGTAAGACGCTCGTTGTTCGCCGACAAAGAACCGAATCGTTCCGCCTCGTTTCAGAGATCTCGGCGACAATTCGATCGAACACCTGCCTCTGAACTTGTTTTTCTCGCTGCACGCGGTCACGCGACTCAGGTTGAGCAAAAATCTGCTCAGGGAGTTGCATCGATCTCAGTTTATCAGCACGCGAAATCTTCGCATTCTGTAAGTGACACGAAAGCCGTCGTAGAGTAGAGATCGCGAATACGCTTGATATCGTGGGTGTTCGCGTGGACGCAGCGACGCGTCCTCCAACAGGTTGCGAACCCTGCCGGACAGCCTCTTCCTGAGCACCACCTCGCTGGCGGTGCTCGATCTGTCTCGCAATCGGATCTCGAGCTTGATTCCGGGCACTTTCCGCGGGCTGACCGCGCTGGAGGAGCTGTCGCTGGGCAAGAACCGACTCTCGAGCATTCCGTCCGACATGTTCGACGATCTGACGAGCCTGAAATTCCTCGGCCTGGAGGAGAATCGTCTGAGGGAGCTACCGGACGGGTTGTTTCGAGCGCAGACGACGCTGCGCGAGTTGAACGCGAGGAGCAATCAGTTGACCGAAATATCCGGCAGTCTGTTGAATCCCCTCGAACAGCTACGCTCTCTCGAGATGTCCAGCAACAAAATAGCTCGGGTAATTCGTCGAACGGGGCAACTCGGAGCGTCGCATCCCGCGGACTCGCGATCATCGCGTTTCCTTGCTCGTAGATCGATACGACCGCGTTTCGAGGGTTGATCGCGTTGAAGGAGCTGCAACTGGGACACAATCGAATAGGGAACTTGACGCCCGGGACGTTCTCGAAGTCGGGCAGCTTGGAGCGTCTGGTGTTGTACGCGAACGGAATCGAGAGTTTACCTCGCGGCGCTTTCCAAGGTCTCTTCAACTTGACGTCGCTGTTCTTGCACTCGAATCGCTTGAGAATCATGCACCCCGAGCTGTTCCACGACACGCCGAATCTGCGAAAGCTGTGAGTACGAGTCGCGTCGATTTTTCGATCGATCCGATCCTCGTTCCCGTTCGTAGGCAGCTGGAATCGAATTATCTGTCGTCGTTGCCTGCCCGAATTCTGGACGCGGTGCCGTACATCGAGCAACTGCGTCTGGCTCGAAATCCCTGGCACTGCGACTGCGCGGCGGCTTACCTGGCTACCTGGCTGCAAAAGAGGTACTTGGCGCAAACGAACGGCACGGCGGTTCGGCCGATGGACAATTTCGGAGTTTGGGAATTCGGAGGCGGAGCGGTGTGCAGAGGACCCGGAACGCTGGGTGGTAAACCGTTGTTGCGTTTGACATTTCACGAGCTCTGCGAGGGTCAGTGGGCCTCGATGAAGGGCTTAGTCCCTCGACTACCGGTCGATCTCGTCGGGTCCGGTGGTCGCGTCACCACGGACGCTCCGTCCTCGAAACAGCCCGTCTCGGTAAGTGCGATATCGCTTCTCATCGACGTCTATGTTGACAGCTACGAATAATCGCGAGCGAGTAATTTTTCATCGCGTCGACAGGTCAAACGTCGATGAACCTTCCACGGAAAAGGCTATCGCGTTCGATATCAAAATGCAAATACTCCAACAAGCTTCGGTCCGCTCAGTTTGCTCGCGCTCGTTCGAGCGGCCTTATCGCTCGTATTTGTCCAACGTTTACGTCTCTCCGTGTTTGCCCACCGAATCGCGCGGTGAAACAATTTAGTCCGAGCGACTGGAACAAATCGGCAGGCCGACCGATCGAGCGAACGAACGGAGCGTAGACTAGAAGGAATCCAAATCGTACTCGAGCGTGTGGGGGAACGGCTCCGCTTCGACCGCGCCGTCGATCGTTGCTCCGGCACAGTTTACGCCTCGAGATGGACGCGTCACGATCCAACGACGAAACGATTCGGTTGCTGAAACGCCTGCTGCGAATCATCGAGGAAGAGAATGCGTTCGATCGCGAGGACGGCCAGCCCGTCCTACGATTCCGGTATCCGGAGGAGCTGCAGGTAAACTTTCCGACGAATCAAATTTTCCCGGACGTTTTCCTTTCGTTTGCTTTTCAGAGTCAACTAGCGATCCGGTTGACCGACGAACCATCCAGCGAAGAAGATATCGAGACCGCGATAAGGCAGACGATTCGCTACTCGGTCAAAACGTACAGTCCGCGCTTTCACAATCAGCTGTACGCCGGGGTCGACCCGTACAGTCTGGCCGGTTCCTGGATGACGGATTATCTCAACACGAGTCAGTAAGTTATCGTTTTCCGGATTCTCCCTACGAACGAAATTCCGATCGACATTTAACTCAGGTACACGTACGAGGTGGGCCCCGTGTTCACGTTGATGGAACGAGAGGTTATCGAACGGTTTCTGCAGTTGGTCGGATATCCACCGATGCCGGAGGGGGACGGGATTCTCTGTCCCGGTGGCAGCCTGTCCAACATGTACGGTATGGTGATGGCTCGATACAAGAAGATACCGGAGGTAAAGAGCAAAGGGATGTCGGGTTTTCCGCCGCTGGTGTCTTTCACC